TATTCTGGAAGAGGTACATTTACAGAATTGTAATCGACAATAGGCTGAAGTCTATAAAAATTTGGCTCATAATTATACGATGCCTCTTTTTTATACGAGGGGCCATAGAAAGGGCTAGGCTGATATTTGTTGTTAGGTACCACAATCTTGTTGTAATTTGGTTTTTCGGGATATGGTTTTGGAAGGTTGTATATAGGTTTATCATATGATAATATAGGGCGATCATTGTAAATTGGCCTCTTAGGTGCGTATTTGTATGGCTTTGGTTGATATATAGGTATCTCATCAGGTCTCTCTGGTAGATATGCAGGTTGGTTAGGAAAGGGGTAAGAATTATCAGAAGAAATGGGCAGATATTTCGATTTTGATGCTTGGTAATTTGATGAGGCGTAGTCTCTATAAAATGGATTTGATTGATAATTATTTTTCTTAGGTTTATATTCAGATTCCCTTGGGTAATCAGATATATAAGGATGATAATTGGATATATATGAAGGATACTTAGGTTTTTCTAGATAACGATCGTAATCAGAGTTGGATGATTTATAATAAGGGTTTTCTGAATGTCTGTAATCAGAATAGGTTTGACGTTTAGACGGGCATTTTTTATTTATCCAGGCAGCTCGTTTCTTGCGTGGATGATCGCAAACTCGCAAATTAGGATTGTAAACGGTACCTTTGGCACAGAGTCTAACAAATGTTCTTCCCATAGAGCATTCCACATATTTGTAAGGTAAGGAAAGATGAGGGTAAAATGTTACCCCTGGTTCAAAGGGTGGATAAAGTCTACAAGGGGATGGACCTAATTTATACAAAATACAATAAATTATATTATAAATTAGCTTTACTTATATCAAGTTCGCAAACGAAAGGAAGAAGATTTGAGCATGACGTTAGCACCAATTTTATGGAATTAGAATAGAAAGCAGCCTTGAAACAAGACTTTTCGTATAAACTCCTAAGGACATTTTAAGGCATAATTTAAGATGAGATGAGAAAAAAAATAGATTATATTACGATGATATCTCGTCTCCCACCCATATTTCAGCGCCTTGTGCTAAAGATGATACCAAACTCTGTATTTATATAATTTAAAAAAAAAAAATGTAATTAAATATCAAAAAAGTGAGAAAATTTTATAAAACAAACCAATTTTTCTAGATATCTTATTATATATCATTGGATTATTATATATCTACTTTGTCAAAAATGACTTTATATATATCAATTCTTTATTTATCATATCATTTTATTTACATGAAAAAATCCGAAATAATAAAATAACTCAATTCGATACAAGGTTGACCATCCTATTGAAAACAATAAAAACTTTATACCTGTAAAATTACAAAAAGAGGAGATGGAATATTCTAATTCTCAGACGACAATATATATTTATATATACTAGTCAAAATATTTTACGCTAACCAATTCTGGAGCATTATCTATGATACCTAATGCTGAATTTGGCGCGATTGAGTAACAAAAGGCTTTGGCGTTTTGCCACGGCAGCGGTTGCGGAATGAATATGTAGCAGGTTTGACTATCGGGCAGTGCCACCCAACCAGGTGGGCAAGGTCTTACTACTAAAACAAAATCAATTTAAATGTGATTCGTATATTACTTGGTGGTGGCGCTCCTCCGATACACATATGTATACCGATACAGAGAAAATAGAAGAAATAAATCATTTTACTATTAAAGAAATTAGTCGTTAGAATATTTTTTAAATTAAATGTATAAGAATTTATTATATTTTTTTGACAAATTTTTATTTATCTCAAAAAAAAATTATTAATGAAAATATATATACAAAAAAAATAAATAGTGGAGTGGACGCTTTACAAGTAATATATTATTCGCATTTTATATCTTTGTTAAACAATTAAATAAGTTTTAAGGCGGGTTATGTGTATATTTAAAATAGCCTAGATAACCAATTAATTTCTATTGATTTGTTCTATTTCATATATCTATTTCATGTGTACAAAAAGAAGTATTTAAACTTATTTCCATGCAATTTGAATATTGATATATTTTTTTATGGTGTATGTGTAACTTACCAATTAATGAAAGATAAGTTATTTGATTTTAAATAGACCGTGTATTTATCTAAATAATCTCCCGGCAAAAATATATTTATATCGTAAGAATTTTTAATCTAAAACAAATTTTCATTATGCAATTGTTTCAAATTTTAAAAAAAATTATAGGAGATATTAATAATATCTTCCAAATATTAATACAATTTTCGTTAGCTGAGTTTAAAAATAAATTCAACAGATCTATCAGGGTTTATTGAACAAGAAACAAAATTTGGCGACCCATAAAAAAAAAGTCATTTTACCCGGGGAGCGAATATAAACTTAGTTTTTCTTACAAATAGTATTATAAATGTAAAAATTATAAGTATAGTTGACTCAATGGTCTAACCTGGTTTAGACACACTAAGATTCCTGGAAGGGGCATTGAATTCTAAAGAACCAATCATTTTTAATCGAAAACAAAGTTATATATATAAAAACCTACATATTTACAATATTCGGTCCGGCATTTTTTTAAAAAAAAATATGGCCTCGGCCCGTATACCAGAGCCTTTGGGTCTCTAATAATTTGTGTTATATGAAATATAATCGAAAATGAACAAAATTGTAAAAAAAAGTTATACAATCAAAACATGAATTATTGTTAATAACTGATTAAATTCAAAATTGTAATAAAAATATTTCCAAACTTTACTCAACGGTACCTACCTGAAAAAATAAAAATCAATCTCTTAATAAAAAAAATAAACACTATTTAGATTTTCGGGTTCGATATGGTTTTATGTTCTTTCTTCAAAGATATCCTTCAGAGTTGACTTTTGCCAAACAACCTTGACTTACTATAGTTTTCCAAGGATCCGAGTACCCGTTTCCAGTCATTTAAAGAGCTTCCTAGTTCCCATGATTCAATGTGCATTTAAAAAAATTTTTTGTGCCCCGATCTAAATAACCTTCAACTGATCAGAAACACAAAAAAAAACCTAACGGCCATGAATGGCTAGACGCGATTCCGAGTGGAAAAAAGTAAATGTTACTCACAAACTATGAGTTTCAAACTACCAGTGGACATAGGCTATTTCTTATCCCGTCTGTTGACATCTGTGTTGCCCGCAATAAGCAAGTTGATCCATTTTCAAGATATTGTTTCTCTTGTCTCAAAGTCAGTGGCCGTTTTTTCCGACCTGACTCTAAATAGGTTGATCTGAAAATCTTTGATTTTAGCCGATTTCCCCAATTAGTAAGAAGCCGTTAAGTCTCCTAAATGAGTATGGTAAGCGTCCCGATGGCATGCCTTTAACATCTTGGCTCGGCGGCAAAAGACTTGTCTGGAATGTCTCATGTGTTGCCTTATTTCTGGTTAATCAAAATTATGACCTCTTGGAACTCCAAGAAATCAGAAAATGAAATAAATATAGGTCCCTTCTAAATTCTTTTATATTTAGGAAACCCCGGCCCCAAATATATAAAAACTTTAAATCAATTGGGTAGAAAATTTTCAATTAGGACAGGGGTTAAAAACGTATCCCCATCCCTCAAACAAAAAATTCAGTTTGAAATCCTAAAAGGGAACTACAAATGTTGCTTCGAAACATGCACTTTTCTCTCTTAGTTCGACACACGACATTCTTCCTTTTTTTTCTTTATAAATTTTTTTTATTATTTTTCCCTTTTTTCTTGTTGTGTTTTTATAAAGATTTATAATGATAGTATAAATTAAAAAAAATTTTATATACATATATCTTTAATTTTTATACATAATATAGATTTAATATATGTAAAGTATATTAATTTGAAATTTGATTTATGAAATTACATAAAACTATACTAATTATAATACTATATATTTTATAATTTTTTTTAAAAAAGAATCTTACTTCAATCAAGAAAATTTACTCAGATTATCAAGAACGGAGATTAAGCAAATTAGACCACCAAGTAACCCAATATTTAGATTATTTGTTAAAGGTTGACATAGATTGAAAAATAAAACAAATATATGAGTGTTGAAAATATTTTAAAAGAAAAAATTATTAAAATTTTCATTTCATCTAAAATTAGCTAAGAATTTTCTCGCCGAATTTAGATACTTAAATTCAAAAAAGTATTACGTCATGGACTCTTATATATTTGACAACATTAATCAAATTCATTAATTTAAGAATATGAGGTTCTTTTTTTATAAATATAAAATATATTGTTTTTTAGTAACAGTGTTACTTTTTTAAAATTATAGTGATTTATTTCATAAATAAGCAGGCAAAAATAACATAATTTGATTATTGTAGATTATGAATCCCCCCCCCAACAAAAAAAATTGTAGCGCGTTTCGTTTTGTAGACGCAAGAAAGGCCTACATGTGATTATACTTGTATAGGCAAAATCGAACGTACATTACGCATCCATTGCGGCAGCCGAATTAACCAAACGTAACAAATATTCGCAAATGTACTATTTCTACCCTTTATTACTACCACATTAGGGAGCTTCGGCGAAGGTGAAATTCTCTTTTTAAAAACTTTAGGTAAACAATCACTGGAGATAAGAAAATTTATATCTCATACAAAGAATATCTCTTGAGATATGTAAAACTAATTTATCTCCATCCTGGGCTCTATGCCTTTTTTAAATTTTATTAATTAAATATTTTAATTAGATTATTTCAACCGAGTTTTCAGAATATAACTAGCAAAATTTTTAGGCTCATTTCCTTTTCAATTATATTTTTGAAAATCTTATACAAAAATAAAAAAATTCTAATCTTATTTAAAATCAAGGTTACTATATTATTTATATTAAAAAAATTAACAAGAAACGGCATTACTTTTTCGAAAAATTGAAGTAGCGCTTTTATTTTCTTTTAGTAAAGTAACGAGAGAAAAATAATAAAATATGACTGATAAATGATAAAATAGTAATTTAATTAATTTTATTTTCGATTATCGTTCGTCTTTGCTACCGTTATATATTAAATTTTATTATTTACAATATTTGTAAAATAATTTTTTTTTCAAATAAATAATCTACAATATAAATGTATATATAAAAACACAATCTTGTTTTTAAATTCTAATTTCTGTAAGAAGTGATTATGTAATAATAATAAAAATAAAAGCATTCTATTGGTTCAAAAATTTATAAGCAAACATCCTCCAAAATTCGTTCACGAGTCTTTGTTAATATCCGGCGCTAATAAGTATGCCGTATCGCTAGGTTCCTTGGAGTCGGAATCATTTCCATCAACTCTGAGACTCTTCAAGATCTTGAGGGTACCAAAGGTGTAAGCAAAAAAGACTAGGGATAAAGGTACTCCGAAACCGAAACTAATCAATAAAATTATGAAAAACGATATGGAGTCCTTGGGCGGATGGCCGTAACCTAAAACGCATTGCCTTTTTTATAATAAAATATAAAAATTTTAATTTTTTTTTTTAAACAAAAAAATCAATAAAATTTTAGGCCTTTTAATTGATTTAAATCAAATATATTTGCAAATAAAATGATTTAAAAACAAAATTTTAACTCTAAAATTAAAAAAAAGGATAAATATTCGAAAAGGATCCGAGCCGTGAAAAAAAAATGAGTGACAAATGCAATGACACTTAAAATAAATAATAGAAATACCACGATATATATTGAGCCAAAGATGTGGAATCGTATTCATTCGAGCCTCCTAAGCTGGAGTCGGAGGAAATAAAATTCATGTCCCCGTATTGAAGGATCAGATTGGCGTTCTTACTACATACGGGAAATATATTACGGAATGTTCTGTCCACCAAAATAGAATGCAAGAATGAGGGAAGAGAGTAATTCAATGAGGAGTGGTTGTTTGAGAATCTTAGAAATATAATTAATTTTTTTGTAAAAAAAAAACATAATGAACTATTCAGAAATGTTAGTCTTATTGCAAAAATTATGATATTTACTAATATAAAAATGGCGCCTTATGATAAATAAGAACAGGGGAATCAAACACTAACAGGTTCAACTAGTTCAAACACCGGGGTGTGCGGCATAATAGAAGAGGTAATGATGATTGATGGAAATGGTAAGAGTAAAGAGAGAAATAGTGAAATTATGGTATGTATATTGGTATGAATGAAATTTTACAATTAATTTTGATGAATATATAATTAGATTTAATTTTATAAATATATATTTTATATATGATATAGGGATATTAGAATGGAAATATTAATAATAATAATAATAAAGAAATATCAATAATAAAATTATAGGAAAATTGGAGCAGATTAAACCATGGAAAAAAAAAGAAAAGTAAATAATGATATAAGGAGAAAGGATATTATGAATATATAAGGTTAAATATAATTAATTACAAACTATATGAAAGAGGAATTGAATACATAAGGTTCTATTGATATAAATTTGACAATATATATTAGATAAAATAAGGACATTTTTTGAATAAAGTAGTTAAAATAAAATTTAAGGAGAACTAGAATTTTAGTGAGTTAATAAAAAGGTATAAAGTCAATATTTGAGGTTAAATAAATGTTGATTAATTATATCATCACTCAGAAAAATATAATAATATTTACTGATTAGACACGACGCAGGATTTGAGCTGGGATAGGCTGACAGGTTTTGAATCCCTATAATTAGTAGGAAAGAGTCTGTCAAAGAAAAGAGGTTTCCATTGCAAGTAGCCAGAGAGCTGCCTGCGAGAAGATTTAGAAATGATTTCATCGATCTTACGAATATATAATAGAAATAAAAATAAATATGGTATTAGTAAACACTAATTCATATTTTTATTTCTGAAAATTCCTGAATTTGTCTTCTAAAATTAATATGAGAATATTATAATAATTAGCAAAAAACGATTTAAATTGTTTTGTATACAACTTTATTTGTCATAAATCAAATATAAAAGATCTATTTTCTTGATTTCCGAAATTAATGATATTTTTCAAAATTTCCCTCTATAAAAACTAACTCTGGGTAATGTTTGGGTAAAATCAATGTTTATTATATAGTCGACATCAGTATATATCATCAAAAAACATATTTTCTTGATTTCCGAAATTCATGTTATTTTTCAAAATTTCCCTCTATAAAAACTAACTCTGGGTAAGGTTTGGGTACAATCAATGTTTAATATATAGTCGACATCAGTATATATCATCAAAAAACAAGAATGAACTAGTGATATATTTAAGATCAAAATAAAATCCTAAATTAAATATGGATTTAGAAATTTTTTAAAAAAATTTTCCACATGTACTCATTTCATTTGTACCCAGAGTCAGAGATGGTTTGTGTTTCTAAATATTACGTAATTCCTTCTCACAAATATAAATATAATATATATCGATATACTATATATTCATTATTTAAAGAAATATATATTAAAAGATTGAAAATCATTCTTTCATGTCGTGGTTACAGTAGCCCTATATCGTGGTTGGGGTATGATGTAATAAATTTATTAGATGGGGGTGTGGTATGCATCAATAACATGATGGTCATTTTAAGGTGGCCCCTTTCATTTTTTAGAATATAAAATTATATAATGAGCTCTCCCCCATTCCCAAATTATTTTTTAAAAAATTATTCTCATTCTTTGAACATCAATATATATTTTTTTTAAATTGATGCATTAATTATATTTAAAAACATTAAACAAAGGTATTCAAGCTTTGTTAAGTACAAGCATGAAGCTAAAGTTTTTTTTAAAAAAGCTTTAAATTATTTTTTATATTATAATAGAAAATTTTTAAGACACATTTTAAAAAAAACAAAGCAGTTAGTACTTCAATTACTATAATCTTTCAGCCTAGCTTCAAATTGGAGGCAACAGCTTTAGATTTGTCTCATACACTAAAAATATTTTACACCCCTACCCCCTATGAGTATAAAGTCCAGTCTAAACGATATATGAAGGCAAATGATGCATACCCCACCTACTCAGATTATGTAAAACCTTGCATGCTGTAAAAGAACTAGGAAATATGTTAAGAATTAGTGATTTAAAAAAACACGTATATATTTTCAATGCGGTGTATAGAGACTGTCAGTGCCACATACAATGTCAGAGCAAAATATTAGCAAAATGATTACCAATTAACAACACAATGTAACTTTATTATGATCTTAAGCTAATTTAAGCTATAGAATGTACAAGCACAACCTTTAATGGGGGGGGCGTGCCTGTATCATATGACATTCTATTAAGGGAGGGGGTCTCAGCACCATGATCTCATAGAAGGGAATTGCTTTGTTGCATTTAACGGGATAGAGTAAGATTTCTCTAATGTGAATCATTAATCTTTAAAGGTTAAAGGCTGGTCAAAGGCTTTAAAAAAATAGAATCCCGTTGATGCAAATTTTTTCAAAATTTTACATTATATATTTCATGATTTGTTTGCGATATATTGAGTTATTAATAAAGAGTTTCAAGATTCATGATAATTTAAAAACTATGTATATTCCCTTTAAAATATACTTGGATAATTACTATATTTTTAGCCGTTTAAGCCAATTTTTAACCGGTTAAAAATTTGGTGAAATCAAGTTTTTAGCCAAAAATTATCACTTTGGCCTTAGAGTTTTTTTTAAAGAGATAACAGTTCAAATTTGAAAGAAGTTAATATAAATTAAAACGCCTTAATACTAACAGATCTTCTGCGGCAGGCGCCTGAATATTGAGCCGAATTCGCCGACGTCATTTCCCAATTATACTTTGAAGGAATTTACAGTGTATTATAAGGAGATATCACTATGCTAAGATATAGTGCTATCATCGTGTCATTTATTTTTTTATAATAAATACAGAAGTTTAGCAGGTAAAAAAGAAAAAAGGCAGTTAGCCAAGATCTACCAGTCCAGCCGACAGTACTAAATTTCTAAAAAGTGGACATAAATTCAGCCTGACAAAACCAATTAGTTTTACTGTTTTTAAAATCCATCTTCAGGACAAATTTTTCAAAAATTTGTCCAGTTCATGGTATGGGTAGGACCAGAGCATTGGTCTACACTCCAAGGATGATAGTTTTTAAAGAAGCCTGGTAAAACATGATATGCAGATTTCCTTATAAAGTAGTTTTCATATTTTAAATATATATAAAATCAATGCCATATACTTATTATAAAAAAAATCAAGATTTTCTATTTAACAGAAAAGTAATCTATTTTAATATAGTAGCATCTTGAGGTAATGAATTAAAAAATAACTGAATCTCTTTCAATATCGATAGTTAATTAGTTCATTTATAAATAAATACTTATTGTCAAAATAAAATAAATTTGACAGCCTTGAAATGTCATTCGGTTAACATGACTGATAAATAAAATATTTTTAGTACCCTAAAGAGGCCCGGAGTGTATTCATCATCTATGGATTTTTTGATAAGATATATAAATGGATCTCTATCTTCGCTCTCCATGCAAAAGGTAGTATTATGAATCATGTTTGGATAAAAATAATTGTCATCGCCAAAATCTTTGGGGAACTTACTTTCAATGACAACTATTCTCAAACTCAAAATTGGTTTAGAGAATATAACAGGATCAGGAGATGGTGCGGCATGATGCAAATCAAAATTGTCAATCTCTGGATTTAATGATTCATTTTCATGGTAGTGAGTTGTTTGATTGAGGGTCAACAAAAACTCAGTTGAGTTTACTGTGTATAACATATGAGGGTAAATTGTAGAACGTGAATCTTTGTCGAAGAATGATATCTAATCAATGTAAGATGTAAAGCATAAATAAAAAAGACATTGTAAAAAATTAACCTATATTAATTTTTATATATTTAAAAGAACAATATAAGTTAATTATCAAGTGCTATATAATTTGAATAAATGTTTTTAAAATGAAAAGATTATATCTTAAACATCATTTAACATGGGCCCATTTAAAAAATAATGTGTATCACATCTTTATTAAGGAGCATATATAATGTAAAATGCCTTGTAAAATAAAAATAAAAATGACTATAATAAATAAACCAAAAACATATAAAGTATTTATTGAAGGTGTTGATGATAATCAAGCATCATTATATTATAATTATTATAAAGTTTATTATATTTAAATATCAGTTATTACTTATTAGTATCATGGTGATAACAGGTAATGAATGGAAGAGCTTTCCCAATCCCCCCCCCTCTTCTCTTCATGAATATTTTAAAAAAAATTAAATGTTACAAAAAAACTAATACTAGCATTGTCAAATATATGAAAACATCATAATTATATAAAGAATTGAACTATTTTTCTAGATTAATAAAAAAAATTAAATTTTTTATTATTGTATTAATATTATTCTATTATATATTTAAATGGTCTTTTGTTATAATTTTATATTATCTGTTTGTATATTGTTTTGCGGCTATAAATAAAATATTTAAATTATTGCTATATGTAAAGGTTAATTTATTTTCTTGTTGAAATAATATTCAAATGTTTTTTACATTCAATTAAATTTAACCAAAAGATATATACGCTTATAAATTATGAAAAAGATTATTTTACCACCAATTAGATAAATATCTTTAATTATTGTCTATTTCAATCTTTAAAATCCCTACAATTTTATAAATAATAAAAAAATTATTACTTTAAAGGATATATTTGTGTTTGATTTATTATGGTGTCCTTTTAATATTCCAAAATTTTGATGAATATTATATGTTTTTCTAAAATCTTCCCATATAACTTCAGTTAAATTATAAGAAATTGTTATATTTGGGTGTATAATTTCTCTTTTCTTTTTTGATATATATCCATCAAATTTGGTATTATTAAGATATGTCTCTATTAACTATTTAAAAATGGTACATAATAACATGTATAATTAAATTACATTTGGAAAAAATAATGCAAATTTATAAATTATAGTTCCATTAAAAATTATGGCTTGATCAGGATTATTGGATAAAAATTTGAGCCAGTTAACATCTAATGTAGTATTATGTGAGGTGTAGAAAAGATAGAAAGATGGAACACCTAATATTTAAGCATGTAATATTATAATAGCATTTATTACCAAAGGTAGTCCATATAAAATGGATATCATCATTTGTACTTTGTGAAACAACATGTATAAAATTAATATAAGAATCATTAATTTTTATACATTTTTCACTGTCACAACCCGGATTCCAATAAAATGACACCTAATAAATAATTTATAAGATATATTTAAAATTAGTGTTTACATTTCTATAAGAATTACATTTTATGAGATATATTATGTTCAACAAAATTACGAATATTTTGGGATTAGTATATTCTAGCCGCATCATATATTTTTAAATTAGATGGCGTTAGTGATCAATATTAGTTAAAGTGTTCTTACTTTGATTTTTCCTCACCCTTATAACTCTAATATTATAATGGGATATCTTCTAATCTAAAATGGATATTAATATTATATATACATAATATACACAGATTTTGATTCCTTCAATAAAATGAAGACTCATATTATAAGAACAAAAATACGATATCACTTTTTTTAAAACCTTTCTAAAATAACATAAATAAATATAGTATTAAAGATATTTTTGACTTTTAATATAAATTTTCTCATTTTCATTTATTATTAAAGTCTATGTCCGTATTTGGACAAAAGATCAACATGTTTAAAAATATTGAGCACTTTTTTGGTTAGGTTTTTTTCATACGATTCAAGAAATTCTTAGCATAGTTGTATCATATTAAACATATGCATTTGGTAACTAATAAAAAATAACCCTTGAGAAGTATGGAGATATTATTTATTGCAGTTTTAGTATAATTCTCCCTTTCATTATGACAACACCCGATTATACCTTTTTATTAACTCCTGATAAATAAACTTTCGTTCATTAAGTCCATATGTTAAATTCGAAAATTAACTGCAATCATTACCAAAGAAAGAAATTCGAAAATATTGTGTAATCATTACCAAATTAATGTTTTAATTATGTGAATAAAACCTGAAAAAAAATTTTAACATAAAGGCTACTTTTAATAATTCACAAGATTTATTAAACCAAATTATAGTGAGAAATAGATATTGGATCATATGGAAACACATAGAGCTACAACAGATAGTTCATTGTCAAGAAAAACAATGATAAATATTAAATGCCTTGAAATAATTTTTTGGAAAAATCTTTATGAATCGTTTTCTAGGATCACATGGAATATATAAAGATTAGCATAAATTGATGTATAAGACAGAAATGGGAAATACATTAGATGTGAATAGGATTATAAATGTAATGGGATTAAATGGTAATATGATATAATGGAAACTATTCTTTTGATTACAAGTTATATTATATATTTCATACTTTACCTTTTAGGAAAATTGGAACCAAATAATTCTTGCATTAATAATGTCAATTTACAAATATTCTTATGGTTTCAAACAAAATGATATTAATATATTTTATAATTTTATTACTCTCTTATTTTACCTTCTTCCAAATTATTATAAAATTACTATCTTCATTCTAATATGTTATTTTTTAATAACCTTTTTATCCCTTACTAATGATATGTAAGAAGCCAAAAGTTCTTCATTTATCTAAATTACACAGAATAGTTTAAAAATTTAATATATATATTTCTTCTTTTTCCCCCCTTTTTTAATCTTATTTTTTAATTACCTTACAATTAATTAACCTTGGGATAAGCTATCATAACCAAAAGAATTTTAAAAAGGTGATAACCATTTGAAGTGTCAAGCCTTAATATACTTAGCATGTCCATGTTAAATTAGGAATGTGGTATGGTACCCCTTAAATGGTGCACTGTGACAACATTAGGTTAATATGTTGTTAATATATTTGATTAATATTTTTATTAAGGCATATATAATGAAGAATTCAAAGAAATTTTGAAAATGTACCAACAATTACTACACAGTTATAACCTTTCCCTTTTAGCTTTAACTAAATGTTGCCCTAGTACCTCATTTCTACCCTTGAAAAATATTGAAGATGATTTTAAGCTTCTTGATTTAATTAAAAACAATCATAACAATAAAAATTTGAATAACATCCATGTAATTGAAACATTTTCCAGTAATAATTATAATAATATTTGCTTAAATAGAATTAATGATATCAGGGGATGCTCAAATTTATCCAAGAATATATAAAACAAAATTATTTTATAAAATAAATATAATTTAAACCCCAACTCAATTTCAGCATTATTTTTTATATAAAAAACTTATTATCAAAAGTGATAAAAATCCATATCCAACCTACAGCTTTAGCTAGAAGAGAAAGAATAAATAAATAAAACACAAATATTAACTAATCTTTTATATATATTATTTACATAACTATTTTTTTATAATATTTTTGGCAAGTATTTTTAAAGATATTTATCTTTATTGGTATTCATTATATTTTTTATACATCTTATATAGTTGAATTAAAAATAAACAAACTAATTAAATTTTAATATTTTTTCTATAACAATGTATAGAATACAATACTAAGCCAAAATAATTTGGAAGATCTTGATTATAAGCCTAAATTAAAATTATGACTAATAGGAAATTTTACCCTTCTTAATGCTAAAAATTACAAGTGATTTACATTAAAAACAAAATTAAAATGCAATTTTAAATAATAATTTACATAAATAATTCTTTGGTTTATTTTTAAACCCTTGCCAATGAATCATTGTAAATTAAAATAAAATTTAAAAAAAACCATATGAAATGCATAACCATAAAGGTGCTCCATATTTCAACACGATGAGCTTTTAAATGCCTGTCCAAATAAATGCTTATTTTAAAATGTAACTTTTACTTTTTTAAATTTAAAAGTTTTTGACATAGGGTAAAGGGAATATCTACTTCCATTTAATTTTAAAAAGTGGTTACTTCAATTTTATTTATTTTTTATAGAAAAAATGCCTTAATTTTTATCTTAATATTTCTGAACGGTTTAAAATTTACCCTATATTTTTTTGAAAGCTGAATTTCTTTATCGGTGAAATATAAGTATCTTTCATTCATAAGATAAACACAAACAATTCTATCGTAAATGCATCATATCCTAGCAGGCGCTTACCAGTAATTTTCTACAAGAGGGGGAGGATTAATTTTTTTTATACTTAAAAATTTATTAGAACTATTTATATAAGTTTATTTGAACAAAACATATTTTAAAAATGACAATTTAAATTTAAGAGCGAATATATTATAGTTAAAAATTATTATAGCTAAATAAACCGCTATATAAATCAAAATATAATATAAAATTAAACATTATATGATACCATAAAAAGATAATCAAGATATTGTTCATATATGAAAGTTTAATCTTCTTAGCAATAGCCCTAACTTATTAGATAGGTTTTTCTTAATTGGGGATTAAATCTCTAATAAATAGAGTTGGTAGCTTCACTATAGGCGCGCAAAACGGTTCGAGCCCCATAAATAATTTGTCGATCCCCCTTAAAATTTTGAATTATTTATTTTTATACCACTAAAATAAATAAGTGGTGATTTAGAAAATGTTAGCTATAAAAAAGAGAAGATAATAAAAAATATTTTTTAAGCCCCCTGATAAATGTTAGGATGTCCCCCCCCCCTGACTAGAGTTAATCCATGCAATAGATTTTTTGATGCCATACTTCTGGGAGGGTTTTTAATTCCCTTAACGAAGTTGAGGTTCTTTTCAGTGATTGTATTAATTCATATTGTTGCCAAAAAAATACAGTGATTTTGATATACAATTGGGAAAAAACTCCAAAATATATTTGAAAGAATGCAATATTTCAATGAAATAAATAAAAAATAATCTTGCAAAAAATATCAATCAAACAGTTATCCTACTCTGTTTTTAAATATAAAAAATTGCTGGAAACATGCCTAGGAAACTCCATTGTAAACGAAGTCTTGGAAGAGGTCTATCACATAGTCTTGTTAAACAGCTCGATATGGATCGATTTATAAAAATGCCCAGATTAAGATTTTACTTAAGATAATATTATGTAATGAGATTTTGTTTGTAGATGGCAAAAAGGTTTGGACATCTACTTGCCAAAACTCGAGGTTTACAAAGTATTATTTTGGCTTAATCTGACAGTTTTTAGTAAATACTATTACGACATATATGTTACTAAGAATATTATCTAGAATAATTTAATCTTTATTTTTTTTTGTTTGCCTTAAAATCAAGAAATTTGATTGTTCTTAACGTCTACGCGGAGATAGGTAGAGCATTTTGCTTCCAAATTTTTTGAAAGGGAGTACGTGGGGGGGGGGGGGGGGGGGGGTTAGATAAGTGAAAATATATTGCTGTAAAAATTTATTTAATACTTTTATTAATGACTCATTATTATAATATATTATATGTTAAACAGACAAAATCTATATTTTTAAAATAATGAAAGGATTACAATTATAATTAAAAACTTGAAATTAATAACGTGGGTATATCGCCGCAGCGAAATTATTTTAAATGGGTAGGTTATAGGTTTTTGAGAAAGGGGTCGGGTTAGCCTACAGTGAATATTCTGGCATTTAGACGCTGGTTTTTTTACTATTATAATAACCATATTAAAGTAATGGGTCCCTAAAAAGTTTGGAAATTCATCCAAAATTATTTTTATAAAAATCAAAAAAAAATTTGATATGGATTTTCTTCCTTCGATTTTTTTTTTGTTAATTCTAGGTAAGTTTTCCATTTTCTTAATTTAAAAAAAAAAGTGAAACCAGTCACTCCACTAATATAAACCAATTTGTGCCAATGTTGTAATCAATCAAATATTATGTTAAACTCGCTTCTAACGGATATATCTAAATTTTATAAGAAGTTTAAAAATTATAATCAGGCAAAGTGTGTAATAATAATATCAAACAAAATTGCCCAAAATTATAGGGCAGATATTTAGCGTGATCTATTTCTTTTAAATTTAAAAAAACCTGCTAAATAAATGAAACTTTAAAAATGGGAAAAAAATGGTGGTGATTATGTTTATATATTTAAGATTGGAATTTGCCAAAATTGTATTCCATTTGTTCCAATATGATCCTATAAATTTTATAGAATTTGGTCGTGGACATTTTATATACTAAATTTCTAGGGTGATACGCGTGTTGCCTGATTACGCTTAGGATTAAAAGTATACTTAGTACAAACCGATTATTAATAATATAAGAGCATAATTTAAATCTAAAAAAAAAATTGTTATTAAAAATTTAATTTTCCTAGCGTAATAACTTCTTCCTTGTCTCCTGGGAATATCTTCTATTCATGCTAATTATTATTTTATTTTTTATATATGTAACTTTTGTTATATTTTGTGAAAAACATATTATTTCACAGCAATAATAATAAAAACGGAAGACATTATTTAGTAGTATGTTAATTTTATAAAATAATTGAGATCAATAAATAATTATTATTTAATTATTTTCTCCAGAAAAAGTTTTATATTTCATAACGGGTGCTGAAAGATGTGGTGTTCTGGAAATTGTGCTTGATAGTGGAATATGTTTTGCTTGTAGATTGATTCAAATCCGCTGTTGATTTCTCAGTATTTTCAGGTTTGTTAAAAGTATTAACTTTGTCTTCAATGTTTTTTCCCGCGCTTATTGTTTTGTTGGCTTCGTATGCATTTTCAGCATTCTTGTTGCCAAAATCACCTTTAGCTTCTTCTTCAGGCACGAGTGCATGAATCGAGTTGATTCCAAGATTGGCCTTTCGACTAGATTTGGTCTTTCTTGTATTCAGCATATTATTTAACGAATAGGGCTGGCTTCGTTTCCCTTTTGTTTCTGGCAAATGGATTTTACCAACCGCCTCCTCTTTTTTGATAATGACGGATTTCGTAGATTGCAAGTTTTCGGGATATGAGTGCTGCGCGTGAATATTATTTTGAGAATCGTTCATAAATGGAAGACTGTTGATTAGAGTTGTAGAAGAAGTACTAAATGTGGACATGTGATGATGAGGATTGAAGGAATTATGGGGTAAAAATGCCAAGTTGCTATTGTTGTAATATGCCATGCCGTTAAACTGACTGTGATACTTTTCCCCCAGCATTTCTTCCATGGGTATTGGATAAATGTCAGATTCGTTGTTAATTTGTGGGGGACAATTATGATTGTTGTAGATAGATGGAGAATAGAGAATGTGGTTCTGAGGCAGGGGGAAATAATTGGACTGCGATATGAAATGTATATTATGGTGCGACGGATCAAAATTGTTATCGAAGGGTTCTATGGTATGAGTGAATGGAAGGTCGGGGTAATTAATAAAACTCGAGTTGTCATCGTTTGTCGTATTATTGTGATTTACGTTGTACGAATTTTTGCGATTTATTTTGTGCGCATTTTTCTTAAAATTATCGTCTTTATCTTTGTGGTATAGCCCTTCCGCTAAATCCGCGGCTCTTTTCAAAATTATTTCCTTTAGTAATTATTGGGTAATAAATATAAAAATTTATCATTGTTATATAAATGTATATAATGGTATGATGATGAAGCAAAAAATTTCAAAATTGAAGCAAAAAATTTCAAAATTGAACCAAGACATAAGAATACGAAGAAAAAATGAATAAGAAGTTACTTTAGGGATTTTTTCTGGATCCCCTGGATGCCGAGGTATTAGTTTCATTAGTCTTTGAAATCCGTGCTCGATGTTGGGCTCATTCAGGGCTAATTTATTTTTAAATTCAAATATTATTAATTATAAAAAATTTTCACATTTAAACCTATATGATATGGAAGTGCAGCACTTAAAGGTTGGACGCCTAATTTTATAATCACCTCGTAGATGATTTACTATAATTTATGATTGTAAATGGGCGGATAGTAAATATATAGAAGTGTTTTATATATAGTTATAAACAGTATAGGTTTTACTGTTATATAATTTTTTATGAAAATATATAAAGAGGAAATACACAAATAAACGAATCTTCCAGGAGAACTCCTACAATACTGTTTGGATTTATAAGAAAATGTGACTTCAATTACGCCGGGTGCCTGACGGGGTGGAGTTTGAATACGAATGGCATGAGATGTAATTACCTAATTATATATATTTATAATAGAAAATTTAAAAGTTTAACATTTTTAAACAAAAATTGGGTTACCTAATGTGTAAATGTGACCAAAGCTTAAGTAGATTATAATTAAAAAGAAATACTTATTTTTCTTCTTCTTTTTTTAATATAGTTTAAAGTTTTCCCTCATTAAATGGAAAAATTATCTAAATGGTAATTCAGTGCCGCAAAACATTCGCAAAGAAGGGAAGAGGAGGGAGCGGCTCAATTTAAATTTTATTCGATTTTTAATATCATTGTTTTTAGACTTCAACTATAACCATTATTTTTAAAAAGACTTATTTTGAAAAAAAAATGTTTAAAATAATATATTATAAACATTTTTTGGAGGGAACATGGGTCAGGGGTATTTTGAACTTAAATTAAATAACCAGCCTAACAAATTAATATATGGGAATTAAACCTCGTTCCATACTATGACATTCCCGAATATCACTTGAAGACCTTCAAAGAAGTTTTCTCCGATTATTATCACTTGGGAACCTCCAGATGTCCATCCCTCGCTTGGGCAAACAGCTTTTATACTCGGCATAACTATATAAATTTATATAGAATTTGTTATATTAATATTGAATAATATTTACCTGATTAGTTAAATTTTTCTTAAAATGAATATGAACTATAAATATGTTCTACAATTATTATTAAACATTACAGACTAAGTTAAGGACGGGTTCTATTTATTGAACTCCTAATAAAAAAATATCATTAAAACTAGATTTTTATCATTATAATTATTTGCAGGTCAGGGATATACAGATATATGACTTCATTTCAAAATTCCACAAACTAGCAATTTAATACCAGATCGGTATTGGCAATTTTTAACAAGTTTACATCCAAACTAAAACAAGTCAAAGCTTATGCTATCAATCAAACATTAAAATTCAAAATTGAAATCCCAAATGAATTATAATAAGAATTCTTTAATTGTTCTCTATAATACAATACAATATCCCAGCAGAGAGAGTGTCCTGAAATAAATAATAGCATTTGTATTACTGTAACAATCGGTATATACGTCTGAACAAACAATCTAAAACCTAAGCGAACACTAAACCCTTGAATGCAAAACTATATTATAAAGATAAGGATCTGTTATACTGGAATGGGAGAGATTAGATCCGACAAGAATCCAAAGACCGCAGTATCCCCTGGATAAAAATGTTATATTTGAAGTCAAGTCAAGATTATTATTCTTGTAATATTCCTGTTATTTAATTTGCTATGTTACGACTAAAGAATTTCAATTAAATATACGAATTTGAAATGAAATTGAATTAAAAACGAATTTGAAATGAAACAGAAATTAGTCTTTTTATTTTTTATGTTTCCATTTCTTTTATAGTAAAATATTATCATTTAAATTTTAACAAAAATCATAGGCAAAAGGATATTCAAATCCTAACTCGAATTTACTAAATTCACAATATAAGAATTAAATAAGTAGTAAAAATAATTTTTAAATTAATATATTCTAAAATAATACAAATATTATAAGAATAATAAGGAGAAATTCAATTAATTATTTTTTTTCCTAAGATATCTTGGGAATTTCTTGAGTAAAGAATAGGGGATGGTGATGTAACCGTATTACATTCTTTGTAAGGTATCCCAATTAACCATTTAAATTTTGATTACAGAGTATCAATCAAAATAATTCAAAGGATTATTACTGAATTACCACATTTTCAAGAAATCTTTGGTTGACTTAGAATTTTGTTCCATAACTCTCCATTGTTAATTTTGTTGAATATAGTTCGGATTTGCCTTATTTGTGGATGAATTTGAAACTTGTAACGTATCAATCCATTGTTCATGAAAATCAAACGATTGAATATCTCATATAACTGTCTTACTTGGATTCAGGATATTTATATCAAAATATTTTAGCAATGTGTCTTACTTTGTTGCAGCATAAAATGGGACACCTTTGAAAGGGCATCGATTACGAAAATGAGCACAACCACGCCTTATATAAGATCTAAAATGATTCTGTGTAGACTTGTATGTCCTATTTTTTTTACAGTAATTTTTAACGTATTTTCTACTAGTTAGGCATATTTCCGTATTGTTTGATATTGACCGAAGTCGGTCTATTTCTATTTTTAGAGATAGCCATATTCAAAGCTTTATTAAATTTGATATCATTAGTTGCTAACGTAAGGTAATGTCAATATTTGTCAGACCTGCAATGTATCAATTACGTAGTGAATCTAGCATATCCTCAAACGAGCAGTCATTTGCTAAATGTTTTAGTCTTTGTGCGAATTGGAGTTTAGATTCAACTTCCACATGTTTAGATGTTAAAATTTTCTATCGTCAGGTATATTTTTCAATTAACAATTTCTCCTCCGGTTTACTAGTTAAACAAGTATCGTATAATATTGAATAGGTTTTGTGCCCTAAAATCGTTTTTTTGGATCTCATCTAATTTATACAGTAATTACATAAATTTTTAAAACGAGATAGATACTCATGTTAAGCCTATGCAATTGAATTAAACACGAATTTTACAAGAATAATCATATATGACTTGACCTTTCAAATATAACAGGATCAATCTATTTCTCGGGGTTACATTTGCGTGGAGCGCTTATGTGATCTTGAAAAGTTTTATACACTTCTCAGAAATTATTCATCTCAATCAATTCCTATAAGGCTCTTCTATAATAATAATAAATACCTCCCTCCAATAAAACACTATTCATAATCTCACACCAAATCATCCATGATAGAATTCAGAGTTGTACATTTGCTCAAAATAAAAAGATCTTCAAAGATCGATAGTAAAATTTGAAGATCTTTTATTTATAAAAAAATTTGAGCAATTTTGTGTAACGATCTTCAAAGATCTTCATGATATTTATTTTTTTACCCCTTTAAAAGCCCAGATGTTTTTCAATTTTATTAATATAATATTTCTTTTATGTTTTATACCTCTCCTCCTGCCTTGATGAAAATTGAAAAACATCTGGGCTTTTAATAAAGGGGTAAAAAAATAAATATCATGAAGATCGTTGATCGCAGCGATCTTCAAAGATCTAGATCTTTTAAGATCGTTACACAAAATTTTTAAAAAATAAAAGATCTTCAAATTTTACGATCTTCAAAGATCTGCTCAAATTTTTTTATAAATAAAAGATCTTTAAATTTTACGATCTTCAAAGATCTTGCTGAAATTTTTGAGCTAGATCTCGCTCAAAAATCTATATTTTGTGGAATTGTTAAAATCAACTTTAAATATAGTAAATTATTTACTCTTTTTTTTCTGAAGATTTACTATTCCAGAACTTTAAAAAAAATTAATTAATTTTTTTTTCTTCAATCTTACCACTTTCGTTTGGATCAACTCTTTTCGTTCTTCGGCCATGCTTTGAATTATTATGAACAAACATGTTATCAGAAATAGCTAGTAAAGGGCCCTTATTTAAGTTGTCCGATATGATTACCTAAATTTAAAAAAAATATATATTTATCAATGTTAACTTCTTTAGTCTTTAAAAATATTTTGCGATAAAGAATAAAAAGATAATTTTATAACACTATTTTAATTCAAATTTTCCTAAGACACATCAAATAGCATAACTTTTTAAGTAAAAGATTATTATAAACTTGAATTATATATATTTACCAATGACATATATAATACCTAGACTGACGATTCATTCATTAAAAGTGTACATCAATGCAAATCAGCTGGAGACGCCATTGGTTACACTAATCATTATTAAAATTTTAAACGAGAGCCTAATTTATTCCTATATCTGATGCAAACTTTGTTAAAGAATTACCGGATCATCGAAATAATAAGGAAGCAAGTTATCAATTTAATAGTAGTTTTTAACATGAGAATAATTACTATATGTATATCAAAATGGTGGATCCAGCTGATTTGATTTTAACGACGCTTAAAAATACATTTTAATGAAGGAATCGTCAGTCTAGGTATTATATATGTCATTGATATTTACAAAAAAAAATTAACTTTTAAAACAAAAAGGTTAAATTAAATATTATACGTAACTTGAAATCTTAGGTGAAATTAAATATTATACGTAACTTGAAATCTTCTCATATCTCGTGGATTTCCGGCGTTTTTCAGACAATTTTGATTGCATTTTAGGAAAAATTTTAGGAAATATCTTTGAAAACATAAATTTAAATAGTAATTATAAAATAATCTCATTGTTTTTTTAAATAACATTATTAGCAATTTATTAAAAAAAATTATATACAAAAAAACCATCAAATTTTCAAGTTTCGAAAAGGCTGTAAATGTGGATTATATATAATATAGAGTAAAATAAGGTAAGTTTTTCAGGAACAAACGAAATATCTAAACTTCAAACGCCAAGAAGTCACCTATGAGGGACATATGGAAAATATATTTAACTAACCCTATAAATTTTAAACAATTTTGGCATGAATAATCTAATTACTTCCATTTTATATTATATAGATTTTTAAAAAAAATACAAAGAATTTCGTATCAAAATTTCTTAAATTTTGTAGGTTAAAATTGAGGTATCCCCTCACATTTTAAATATATTTCTATCAAATTTATTTTAAAATTTGAGGTTGTAGTAATATATAAAAATATAATATAGTATTTATATTGTTATATTTCTTAACAAATTTTAAAAAAATTTTTTTAATTTTGGAATTTTATAATTTTCTCTTTAGAATTAAGAAATTTCATACCTATCAATTATGACTGGGTCTGAGGGCGTTTCATTTCTATTTCCACAACTCTTTTTATCGCAACATCGGCTTTATTACATTTTTTTTAACGTATATTAATCCATTTAAAAATATATATATATAATATAAGATGATTTTAAAGGTGAGAATGATGATATAATAAAAAAAAATCTAGAACCAATAATCTTTTTAGAGATAGGTGAAATAAAAAATTCGCTAATCCATCGAATCCCTACCCTGCCTTCAGAATTAACGCGAATTCGCGGCGAAATATACAAAATATTTTTGTTTACTTCGCTGGGAATTGACGCTAACTGTAAATGCAGGGTTATGAGGATTATACCTAAAACGAATTATTTATTATTCGATATTCGATTTGATTCGATTCGTATTTTACGAATACGAATAACACAATTATTATATTCGAATCGAATTCGAATTAGGAAAATATATTATTCGTCGAATAATTTTTTATCTATATTCGATCGAATTATTCGAGATTATTCGACTAAAATAATTTATAGTATTAATATATATTGGAAAATAATCATATATAAATCATATATTATTATTAGGAATTATTTGAAATTATTTCAATTTAATAAAATCTCCTAGTGGAATAATGAAAATTACGCCAAATTTTGAAACTCCATTTTAATTTATCTCATAATTGACCATTACTTTAGAAATTTCTTTTATGCTAGAGATGGACGAAGAAGGTAATTTATATAACACATAACATATACAATTATAATAAACTGTTAATCCCATCACAAGAATGACGGGCAAACATGATATTTCTCTTTCATTTGATGATGAAGATATCATAAATTTGACTTTTTGCCTAAAGTTTTTACCACTTTATTTGTAAAATATTGCTAATGCCGTGTTATCTAAAATGGCGAGGGACATATTATCGATGCAGGGATCTTCAACCATATGTGAGTGACTCTTTTCTGTTGGAGTTCATATGGTTACAAAATACAGAATGTCGTTAAAGGAGGAAACAATCCGAAAAACTTTATGTTTGAAAAATTGGCTGTTGTCAGATTTATTTTCTACATTATAGATATGAATATTATATTGATTTTTCCACATTGTATATAAATATATTATATATGTATGCTTCTATTTTATCTCACTAATAAAATTTGTTTGTCTTTATCCTTAGTTAAATTTTACAAAATAAATTTTATAATAGATCTTTTTTAATTCATGGTAAATAAAATTTTCGAATCGAATCGAATATTCGACGAATCGAATCGAATAATCATTTTATTATTCATACGAATACGAATAATAAATTATTCGATTTAAACGAATAATAAATTATTCGATTTAAACGAATACGAATAATAAATTATTCGATTTAAACGAATACGAATAATAAATTATTAGATTTAAACGAATACGAATAATTCCATTATTCTATTCGTATTTTTGTAGGTATAATGAGGATTGACAGAACATCAAAATAATGATTATAGTTATAATTGGATGAGATATTTTCCTAACTTAAAAGTATCTAATATAAGGAATAGAATTATAGGTTAAATTAAATAAATATAAAATTAGGGTCAATCAAAGGTTTGATAGATATGGGTTAAGTTAAAATATTATTGTTAATAAAATTAATCATTATTTTTATTAATAACTTGTCAAATCTGACAGGCTTATATGATATAAATAGACAAATCAAAATTTAAATAAATCTGTAATGGCAATTTCCTTGGGTTGGATCCCAACGGCTCGTTTTGAGCCGATTTTTCGAAACGGCTAACTCAATATTTTAGGCAGAAAAATATTGCCTAAACCTCGAGATTTCGATAATATATGTCTAAACCTTTTTTCCTTCTATGAGTAAAGTCTTTAGACTTGCGTAATATTTTGCTGGGTGAAATATTGAATTAGCCGTTTTTAAAAATCGGCTCAAAACGAGCCGTTTAACAAAACTACCCATAATCTAAAAAAATTTAATCGATTTTTCCCCAAATTTATATCCAATAAAATAGATATTAACCTACACATAACTTCATGCGTCAAGAGAACTCTACACATTTCTGGATTCTTGTCTTGTCCTTCATATATTATCACCTAATCATAAATATTAACATTTCGTTTTCATTTTATTTAAAAAAAATTAAATAAATGTTTTAAACTTTTTTCGTGACGGAATCAATGATCCTAATATACATATGCTGCTCTTGTTTGATATCTGAATAAAGTTTATATAAATGAAGAAAAAAAAATAAGTTAATACCCACTATCGTGACTGCCTACTTCCGCGAAAAAAATAATTCCTCCAACACCTTTCTGCGGAATAAAAAGTTATCTTCTATACATTTCCTAAAACTTAGCATTATTTTTTTATTGCAATAAGTAATATAATTTGATTGGCCATTTATTTTTCATATTTGGGGTTTTAAGGAAAATCTAACCATCTCATGTACGCTTACTCTGGTTCCACATCCATGCCTTTATATTTCAATATACTCACAGGTTTAAAATGCAACATCATTATTATTTATAATTGCTAGTGCATCAACAATTGGTAATGACATGACTTATAACCCATCCACTTTTTAAAATTAGGAGGAACTTTAAATTTAATGGCCCCCAATGGGTTTATAAAGGTTCAAAGCTAAGAATAAAATTTATATATAAAGGGGTATACAAATGCTATGCTACCAATTCATTTCAAAATTATCTTATTGTTACTCCTTTAATGAAGATTTAATACATTTTATGAAAAGTTTCCTAAAGAGTGTCGAAAATAAAGCAAAATTGCTTTCTATTATACTATATATCATATTTTTTTACAGTATTGTGTAGATTTTATGGAATATTTTTTATGTGTTTTTGTTTCCAAAATTAACGTTTATTACCTTAAAAAAATAATTCAATAAAAATTAAAAATGAATGAAACTATGCAGAAATATATTTACCAAGTCAACGTATAGCAATTTTATAAATACCAACCAAATTTGCTCAAAATTTATTAAAATGTAATAAGACCCTTATTATTTAACATATTTTATAACGGAATCACAAAAAACATGATCATTGCTGGGATTCGAACCCATAACCATCGGATTGGTAAGCTACGCTCTTGCCGACTAGGCCACAGAGGCTTTCCAAAAATCACGATTTTTCAAATATTTATTATAAATAAATTTAGTAGTGCCTATCCAAATGAAAAATAAACAAAATACATAGGTGATACCTTTAGGTAGTGACTATCATTAACCTTAAATACAAGGCTTCTGAAAAATAAAATCAGGTCAAAATTTTGATAAGTTTTCTTTTTGGAATAACAATTTGAAAATCTCTGGGATATTCCACTACCCCAACATGCCATTCAAGAATTAATTATATAAAAAATAGGTATTTAAAATCGTGCTTAACTGTTGGAATAGTTGAGATGGAGACAATAATGGATTCCATTGTTGCATTTCCTTTCTCCTTCCTAGATATAAAAATTATATTTTCAAAGTTCAATAAATAATTATTATTTTTTTTACTACTAATATATATATACATATGAGGACATATATATCACTTCCAAAATTTAACTAATTTACTGTTAATATTTATTACTATTTTTCTACAAAAGGCATATTTTTTGAATATTAAAACGAGCTTAAGATTATGGACAAAATATCAAAAAAAATTAAACCAACAAATTTTAACTTTTAATGAAAATTAGTAAATTAAGATATAAAAATAAAAACCGTATATAATTTCAAATATTTAACATATGAATTTCTATAAAAATTATAAAATTTACGAAAATTTGAAAACATTTTAAAATAAGATTTTGGACATAGCCAAAAGTGATTTAATGTTTAAAAAAAGACACATTGTAGGAAAAAGAGACATTAAGGCTGGCATTATTCAAATTTTCAATTGATTTAATTCTTAAAAAGAATTTTTATACTTGAATTCAATGGTTCCATTTAGGGAACATATTAAATCTATATTTTTATTCCTTTAAACTTAGGCTTTTTATTGTTAATAGTGTTTAATCATATGTTTTCAAAAGAGACAGAAAATATATGATTTGAAAAGATTTTCTAACCATATCTTGGTCGATAAAATCGATAAAACTCGCCCTTTCGATTTCTATTGGCTGATTCAATTTGTCGTAAAAAGCCAAAACGAAGTGGAAGAAATTGCTTTTGCGCAAATTATTAGGAGGTTGTTTTTCAAAATGAGCTTTAGCTAAACCGACACTTTAAATAACAAAAGAATTTTCTCTATATAGTATATATATATAAATAATGTATAACTTTCTTAAATAAATTTGATTTTAAATGTTGCATAGGCGTTACCAGGACTTTGTTAAGATCAGGGGGCTTTTCTCTCACGATTTTTATTGGAGATCTTTAGATGGACTTATTGTAAACCTTCGGCTATGTTATATATTTATATAAATAAATTTGGTTTTTATACTTCTTTAATTTATAAAAATGTTTTTATTTTAAAATCATTGTGGTTATTTTTATAAAAATTATTAAATTTTACTTATTTTTCTTTTGAATTAAAGTTTGTAATTATATATTGTATACATTGAGGGGAGGGACGGTTATATAGAAGCGAATTAATTTTTTATTAGCTAAACGGATATTTACCAGAACAAACAAATTTCAAAAGGGTGGATTGCTTATTGTCCCCTAACCTCTCTGGCTGTATGAAATGTCAAAATAAATTGGATTTCTATTCATTTATTCATTTCTGTCGGCCAATGTGCTAATATTTTATTTATTTTACTCTAAAAAGTGATATATTTTATAAATAATGAATTCATAAAATTTCAACATTTATTAAGGTCAAAATATTGCGAAAAATAGCATAAAATGACTAATTTCTTAGTTATATGGATCATAATAATAACTAATAGGATGAAAAGATTATCGGCAAACGAAGCGAAATTAATTGCCAATTGAATAAGTCAACTTTTAAGAAAAAATATCGATTTGTCGTTACTGTCAATAATTCAATTATGTAATCTTATTTTTTTTTTCCTCTTCATAAAACAAATATTAAAAATGGATTTGACAACATAATCTACGAAATAATAATTAGTATTTGTTTATTTTTTACAGTTATTTAAATTTAATTTAAAAAAAAACACGAATTCTTCTAATATACAAATCTGAAACCTGCAGGTTCGGTCCTAAGCCCGGCCCGAGTACATTAAACGGACCGTTATTTTTTTAAATATACCCGACCTATAGGAAAGTTGTTAAAACCATTATAGACTAGGTAGAACATTTTCCTAGAATTATAATAGATCGGAGATGGTGGACCTGGTAATGGCAGATATTAAATTAAAAACTAGATAGAAAGAGGTTATATCAAATTTTATTTTTTGAAATATATCAAAAACCTCTAATAAAGTGAGGATTGTTTACTTTAAGGTCACTAAAGAGGAACATTTTAGTATATTTATTAATAAATATTAATGTAAACCACATATAGCATTAGCCCATTTCGGTAAAATAAAACTGATAGTTTATGGCGGTTTCGTAGTCCTAAGATTATGAGTTTGATTTTACCAATGGGGTAATTAGTGTCAAATATCAATTGTTTTTTCAGTTTTAAAAAAATATATATTGAGTTCACAGATGGCATATACCATGTAATAGAGTATAATTAAGAAGGAAAAGCACAAACATGACTTAAAACATCAGAAAAGCAAGCAAATTGAGCTTAAAATACACAAAATCAAACAAACACAGGCTAAACAAGCAAAATTTTAGAAAAGCATGAAAACTGGCTCTAAAATTAAGCAAAATTATCAGAGAAAAGCACCCAAAAAATAAAAAAAATATGTAAAATTACGGAAAAACTCAATTTTTTTAAAATTTAAATCAATTTATTTTTAAATCTTTTTCTTTTTACTCGACTTTTATTCAATTTATTCATGTTTACCAATTTTGTTTCCTCTTTTAGATTACTTTTTCATTTCAACTCGATTTTTTTTTAAAACACTTTAATTTTAATTAAAATTTCCCTCACATATCTTGTCTGAAACCGAAAAAAAATAATATATATATTGTTTTATACTTTAAATTTTCCATTCGTTCTAAGTTAGATATTTGATTGATATTTTCGAGTAACGGCGATATAGAGGTCGCGTATCGCAACGCACGGCTATATTTGCTATTTAGACAACCAGGCATCCACGATTGAAAAGGTTTAAGTGTGTCACTTAATTGAAATAGTGTGTCTTTACCTTAGTGATTTATATTAATTTATTGTAACTTTAGAAGATATTAGGGGATAGGTGGGGTGGGGGGGGGGACAATTTTTTTATATCTTCACACAATTAAAATCTAGAGATTTCTGAGATATGCACTAAAGGGCAGACGCAGATTATAGATATTCGTCTCTTAGCTTGTATATCTTATGGAATTATATACTTGCCTATATGGTATTATCATTATATTTGTTTATTTATACCATATAAATTATTTTAGGTGATCTTTTGTAGGATTTAGACTTAAAGTAAGTCATACAAAAATTCTTATAGGGATAATAATTTTTTTTTACCAAAAATCTAATTTCCTGTGCCAAATTTTTCTAAAACATTTTAAAAAAAAACCTTTTTCAGGATCAGCGGAAAGCGATACCCCTGAATCGTTCAATTCCTGACTGTTTTCTTTATATTCGTTACCGGGAGGAAAATCGGTCAACCCAATAATCTTTTCGAAAGGATTCCCAGTTGCGTATCGATGAGAAGTATGGCCACTTAAAATATGGTTGTTGACCCGGTCGAGTTCTAGATTATTATTGTTGTCGCTGCTTAACAAATTCGGAAAATTCTGCAGACTCTGTAGAGTTTTATTGTGTAACGAGGGATGATCGTCCTCTAAATTACATTTAACCTCTGAAGGCGGAGATCGGCGCAAATTAAGGGGGTTGGGGGTCTGTTCATTATTGTACAATAATCTGTGATAAGGTATGTAAGGGTAAGGAGATGGGCCATATTCGATATGTTCTGGCATGTCGGACGGGTCAGAGACATAGTAGTCAAGAAAAGGTTTTCCGGGGGGCCCATAACAGGTAGCCTCATAGTTGTTATGGCCGTAATGATGATTAAATTTGAACGAATTTTGTTCAAAAAGCCTTAATCTGCCGCCACCACTGCCGGGTTGATAATTGTAGGTGACATTGGGAAGGGTAGTTTTTGAGGTGGTGGTAATGGATTCGTCGCCGACTTTTCTTTTATACGTTGAAAGATTAGGGTTCGAAGGTGATAATGGGAACGTAGCGGTAAACGTTTTATCTCGGTATTGATCACCTTCCTCATTTTTTGGAATATCCTAATGAATTATATATAAGATCAATATTTTATTTTTTTTTAAATAAAAAAATCTATTTATATTTTATCATTTTTATCAGGAAAGTTACAGAAATAAAATGACCTAACTTAAAGAGAGTTTTAGTTTTTTTTTTATAATTTATAAAGTAAAAATAACAGAAATATTTGATATCAACAATATATGTTTTAAATAAAAAAATGTATATTTTACTATCATTGGATAAGTTCTACACGCCGATGTCCCTTATGTATTAGATGTTATCATCTCAGGAGAATTTTTTTTAGACATCAATATTAAAATGATAAATGACAAAAAATATTTTATTTTTATTTTTTTACTCTTTTTAGTCCTTAGAGAGAGAGAGAAAAAAAAATTAAATAATATTTATTTTATGTATAATTTTGATATTTTCATAATTCAAGAATAATTATTTTTAAAATTCTGAAACATTAAAATATTATTATGTATAATGCTAATGATAATTTTTTTATTTTTTTTTAGTATAAGTAAAAGTTATAGTATATTAGAAAGCAATAATAGATCATAGAGCCTACACAGAAAATATTATTTTTAATATTATGTAATATTGCGCAAATTCAATTTAGGAGCTAATGAATCGAGAGGATAAGCAAAAAAAAAACTAATTATGATTTTTTATTGATTTCGATTTATAAAATTATAATATTCTTTACTTAAAATTTCTTCATATATTATAATTGTTTGGGATATATCATTAGGAGTATTCGAATAAATTTTTGTTATAAAAAAAAAGATTGATAATTCTAAGTGCAGGATCGGCTATAGTTCTTTTTTCCGGACAAAAATAACATTGATTCTATACTTGTCTTACAATTATATTATATATAATAATTTTAATTTCCACTTTTTGTTATTATTTTTTTAAAATTTTGCGCGTTAGGGGGCGGTGACCTCATTGGGGCCATCCTAGAAACTACTGTTAAACTCTTCAACGAGAAACTACTATTAAACTCTTCAACATTTTAATAATACTTTTAGTTTGGAAAGCTTATGATCAATGGATAAATAAAACGAGGGGTAGGTTGGAAGATTATTCTACTAGTAATCTGGGAAAAAATAGTTATAATAATGCCCTACAGATTTGAGAGAGTGTAGTGTGTCACACGGTATGTATTGTACTGGATATAGGGGGGAAATCTTTTGGGTTCGCATTCATTAGTCAGACTATAAAATAAATATTAAGAAAGCAGAGTTTCTTGTTTCTCTATTATTGGCGTTATTTAATTTTGAAGTCTACACTACCCGAAAGCGGGCCGGCTAAAAATATTTTTAGACCGGTAAAAAAATTACAGATCGGCTGGCCAATTCCGCTAATTATCTCTAGTATGAATATTTAAAATGTGGTCAAAAACTATATATTAAATTCATGAATAATGAAGTTTGTGAAAATTATTTAGATAAATATTATAAAATATATAAGTTATAGAATTCGGATTTATAATTATTATGATATATATATATAAGTCTTAGGAATTATATTTAAAGTGCTTTGATCGTATTTTCATACTATGTGTATTTTATAATTGCTCATTATAGATCATTTGAACACAATAAAAATTTTTTTTAAAATTTTTTCTAACAAATGATTTATTAAGATGATCCTAGGCATATATGACTACATTGATTCTTCTTGAGGTGGAACTTTAGATTTAGTGGTCCATAAGTTAGATATTAAAGAATATTTTCCAAGATTAGGGCTAAAAATAAATTTTTTTCCAATATCCCAAACAAAAAATTACCCATATAAAGATAATACGATAGAAAATATTCATAAAATCACATTTTTTTTTACAAGGTTATACCTTTTTTTCACCACGCGTGTCATCCGCGGTATTTTACCTTATATTATATAATTTAATTTATCATATTGTGACAAATTATAATTCGTTATTATAATATAAATTGTCAATTCTGATATGCTAATATTTTTTTAAAAAAAAAAATTATAAATCTAATATAATTTTACCCCAAATATTTACTAAATTACCAATCATATTTAAATTTTATGTTTATACCTTGGACTTAATTCTGTATTTCTATTGCATAATTACCTTAGAGTTTTATGAGGAATTTTCTTTTTCTTGCTATGGAGAATATAATTTATTTTATATATATATTATTTTTTTTTAATCAAATCAATAAATCATAATTAGAATACACATATATAATTATTTTATAACCATAATTTTTATTACTATTTTATTGGTTCAAAATTTAATAGTTGTAAAAAAAAAAATATTAGAAACTAATTTAACCTTTGGTTTACCGATCAAACTCAATTCGTAAATGCCATCTGTCGACACATTACATGTTATATTTTTTATTAGCAATGACTGAATTATATAATAATAATAAATTTTAAAAATTGAACAAATATGAGCAAAATTTAGTATAAATATAATAATAATTATAGCACACCAATACTAATTAGTTAATGTAATTTTTTTTTAAATATGAGCTTCTTTTTAGATGGTTTAAAAACAATAAAATTCCAAATATTTTTAGATTTCTAAAACTAAAATAAACTATGATATTTTAATAGTGTAAGTAGATGGATTTAAAAATGAGGGATTTGTTACATTAATTTTTTTTTTTTAAAAAATGCATATTTTCTAATTGATGCTTAATAAAAGCAATTAGAGTAAAATTTATAAAATAATTTCTAAAAAAACATTAAAATTATAGGAATGTTACAAGATATTTTTTGATGGGTTTATATTAGATATAAAATATTTATATTATAATATATTGACAAATTTGTAATATAAATAATTAATTTAAAACAAAATGTAAATATTTGTTCAAGGAATATGCATATAATGATTACAAATAAATTTGTTTTATAGATCCCCGTGGTGCAAAAAATAGAGTTAAAACTATAACTTATTGCCTGAAATGTGCACCATATACTATACCTATATAAGTATACTATAGAGGCATAAAGCTTGGACTTGCATAAATTTATTATTAGCTCTACCTAGAATATAGGATCTTTTGAGACCCCTGCTTCTGTAAATATTATGTTTGCGCCTCGGCGCATTTTATATTATCTAAAATGTACCTATTTTTAAAGTGTAAAATTAGATGATTTTTACATTTTACAGCGACAAATTATATTATTTCCATTTTTCTTGAAATAGTTGATATTTAAAAAAAAAATCATTTTCTTCAATTATATAATTGTGGGATGATAATTTAACTGTAGAAATGTTATTAAAAAATTACCCTTCTATAGAGTGGGTTTTTATTATAATTATGGTTTGTTTTAGTATTTTTATTTAAAAATAATAAATCACTGATTGAAGTGTGATTTTGGTTAGTGGGCGGGGCATCGTGATTAAACTATACAAATAAAGAAAAACTCATAGCTTGTTATATCTAAATACATATGCAATAAATCTTATTTTGATGAAAATTAATTTTAGAAAAAATTATGTGAAAAAATAAAAATAATAAAAATTAAATATAATAAAATGGAATGGAATAAATTATAGAATTTTAATCGATCCCCACTGCGGAAATATGTGAGAACCGGATTTAAAGACTCAATCACGTGTCATAGAATTTGACCGTCATTATACATTATAATATACTTCATAGTATGTGTATTAATTATACTTGTAAAAAAAAAAAATTATGTTAATTCTAATAACATGGGCACGTTTCACAAAATCGTGGGAAAAATTGTGCTAAATTTAAAAATTTCAAATTATCAAATAAAACAATTATTTTTTTAAAAAAATAAAATGTGTCTATATTAACAACATCTGCTATTACATCCATTTTAAATAATATTCAAAAGATTTAAAATTTTGGAGGGGAGGAAAAGAATGACACACAAAAATTATTCATAATAAAAAAAATTTTAAATATAAGTATAAGATACGTAAATATCCCCCCCCTTCCCTTTAGAGGTTATCTACTGTCCCCAATGACGCACGGTATGCTTTATATTATAGATTGTGAGTCAAGGATCCAAACCTGAACCGAACCGTTAAAACAGTTTTTTAATCTAACCTGAATCGTTAATTGATTCTATATTCGCCCGATTCGAACCGCTAAATGGCCCATGAATAGGTTCGAACCTCAAGATTTTGTGCTTATAAAATTATGTGAAAGTTATTACTAGTATATTGATAAAATTCTAATTTAATTTATATAGGCTATAGTATTAGTGTTGTAAGACAACTCGATTTGAAGCCTATTTTTAAAAACGGCTAACTCAATATTTTATTCAGAAAAATATTACGCAACCCTGAAGACTTTGCTCATACATGTCACAAACGTTTAGACGTTTATTAATGAAATCTCGAAACTTCGGCAATATTTTTCTGGCTAAAATATCGAATTAGCCGTTTTCAAAAATCGGCTCAAATCGAGCCGTTTAACAACACTAATCTAATTAGTATGTTGCCATTTTACAACATTTTTTAAGCTTATAGGTCGTGTCCTGAGTCAACTTAATTTTGATACTCATAATTCTTTTTGGTCTAGGCTGAAAAAGCTTTCTAACTATGACACCCTATTTTGATTTGTTTTAAATGTTTTGGCGGCATTTCGTATTTTATTCCCCCTTTTTTTTTGTTTTATTTTGTTTTAGTTTTTTTTTAAAAAAATATATATAAATTATTACATTTAGCACTTTTGACTGTTTGGTCGATACTAGATATACGCCTATTTAGTAATAAATTGATCTAGGACTCGGCCATATTTAGATATAAATCGTATCCAATATATAAATTATAAATGTAATATTAAAGATTGTGACACAACAACTAAGGAGAACCACGGAGCAAATCTTGAGAAACGCATTAAAAGAACCCATCTTTTTATAACTCGATAAAATTTAACAAAATATCACAACAAATAAAATATAGAATCTGAATGTAGGTTTGTAATTCAAAAATATTCAAACCGGGTTTTAGAGGTTCGAACTGAACCGATGTTTTTGTTTTTTACGA